AGCAATGTGCCATCAAGAATTCTGAAGTCCAACACAGAAATACAATTACTAGGGGTAAAATGGATGGATGGAAGATGACATATCCCGTGAAGTGGTAGAAAACATTACTATGTTTCCCAAAGCTACCAATAAAAAGGAAACTCAAGCATTCCCTTGGAATGGTAGGATTCTGACAAATGCACATTGCTGGATACAGTCAACTAGTGAAATCATTATAAACGGTGGTGTAAGCAAGATTGGTTTATGTGGGGATCCAAGCAACAGCAAGCCTTCCAACAAGTGAAGCTGGAAGTGGCACAGGAAATAGCCCTGGGCCCTATCCAAACTGGTGATAAGTGCAAGATATCCTATATATCACGTCAGGAGATGTTGTAATCTCCTGGAGTGTGTGGCAAAGGAACTCCAATGAATCCAAGGCTGACCACTGAGATTTTGGAGCTACAGCCACCAGGGGTCAGAAGCTAATTAGACACCTCAAGAGAATAAGACCCTTTCCACCTATGAAAGAGTCCAAGCAGCATCTCAAATACCAGGAACAGAACAATGGCTTACATAAGTGCTCCAATTGCCTGTACTGCACTGGATGTTCAAAGAAGGGGTGGCACCCATCCACCATGCTACTGCCCATACTTGGAACGAGAGGACTGCCTTGATGATTCAGTGAGCATGTTTGGGAAATAAAGAACACCTGCGCACAAAGCAGTAGTATGGAGTACCCTCACCCATTATGTGGCTGTATGGAGTGGAACAGGACAATTCAGTCAGTTTTCAGAAGCCAAGGCTATGCAATTAGCCCTAGAAATACCTAACAGGAAAAGTGTCCCACAATGTATGTTTACGCTGACTTTTTGTTGATGGCCAATGCTGAGTAGGGATAGATAGAGCCACAGGAAGGAACAAGGATGGGAAGGTTGAGTTAAACCCGTTTGGGTCACCGAGGTATGGCAACAGATTGCCTGCAGCAAAGATGAGTATTCATACATCATGTGAGTGCATACATTCTGAGACACAGAAGAGTGCCAAAACACTAAAGCCAACCAATGTACAAAGGAGGACATCACAGCCCTGGTTACAACAATGAACCTAAACTGGCAACACAAAGGAGAATCCGTCATGGCCCAATGGGCCCATGAGATGGCAGGCCACAGAGGCCAAGATGATACCCGTCACTGGGCCAGAGAATGAGGGATAGATCTACCACTAGCAATGACTACCCAGGTCATTCAGGACTGTGAAGTATGTGCTGTAGTAAAGGAAGCCTGGCAGAGGAAATTACCTTTTGCTTACACCTGAAAGAATATGTGGAAATTTGGTGAAGCTTGTTGGCAAGTTGACTACATTAACCCACTCCCCAAGTCTGCCTCCAAGGAACAATGGCCCTAGCCATGGTAGAAATATTGA